CCCAAATTAAAAACTTTAAAATTATAAGAACCAACCCTGTCCAACTTATAGAAAAGGAAGTGATAGAAATTCAAACATGCACAATGTATTTACCAATTGAACTATATTGTATTAAAATATAAATGTAATCATTAACCACTGTTATTAAAAAAAATAAGAAAAAAAAACTAACAAACTGAAATGAAATGAGTATACCTAGGTCCCGTTTACTTACTCGCAATAGTAATCAAAGAATTATAATAAAAACTTTCATTTCCTGTGTTTACCAAATTGTAGTAATGAAATCAAATGGTGGGACCCACGTCACACTTTATAATCTCATTCAGATAGTACCCCTACAACTCCATCAATCCTAATCTTATTCTCATTCTTTATTCAGTAGGACCTACCTATTTATTATAATTACTTTACAACTTTTACCTTTTTTTCTCATCTATTACTTAGATCCATACAATTTTAAATTAATTTTTTTTATACTTTTATAATTTCTTCTTCATTTATACTTCAACTTTTATTAGTTGTGTAATTTTATTTTAATTATTCATTATTTATTTGATGTAATTTTATTTTAATTATTCATTATTTATTAATATATATATATATATATTTACTTCCATTATTTATTAATATTAAATAAATTCTTATAATAAAAAATATTTACTATAAGTAATAAATTAAATTAAAACTTATTATTATTGTAATTAAAAAGGTTAACACACTAATGTATTTGTAATTAGCTAAAAAGGAGAAAAAAGTATACTAGTAATTATTATATATATGATTCTAATTATTTCAATTCTAGACAGTTTTGGTAAACAACATCAAAAGAATAACATTGATTCATTCCATTACCGTTAAACGGGGCCTTACTGTTTATCAATATCCATTTTGTTTTTTTTTGGTGTAATAAATGTTTGCCAGTTTTTATACCATATTTGTAAAATAATAACAGCATCACTAAATTCAATCTTGAGCATAGCTCAACAATTATGCTCCTTAGCTAAAGTCAAAATTCAATCTTCTATTCTCACATTTGTTAAATAATAGTATATTACCATGTGCTATGTGTTTATGCAGGAATTTGCACAACGGTTCTTCACGAATCGAGCTCGAACCCGGTCTCCAGTTCCGACCTGAACACTAGAGTGGACCTGCACAAGAGGGAAAGCACTCCGACGCTCAAGTCACTATATATCGGACTCCTTATTTAGTTCGAGGTGAGATTCGATACATGAGCGTGAAATGAACTCCTCTATTTATAGGTGACGGATCCGACAGCACACACGACCGGCGGTTACATGTCTTTTATCATATCGGTCCTGTCGGGTTCCGAGCAGGTCGGTCCCCGGTCAGATCGAACTTTGGTGCCCACACTTAGTCTTTTATAGCGGGCAAACCTGGTCTCCTCGGTAGGGCTGAGGTGGACCTAAGTAATCCTTTTTTGTCTAATTTCTTCAAACACTAATAGGGGTCCTCCACGTGTCTTGGGTATGTTTACCCCCAAACATTGGCCCCCTC